AGTTTGCCAACCCTTGAGCTATTCAATGGAGAAAAGAAAATTTATTCAATTAATAGTACTAGAAAAATTGGATATCCATATTCAAAACACTAAAATATAATCCATGCCTCACATTATATATAAAACAATCTCAAAATGGATTACAAACTTAAATGTAAGACTTAAAACTATAAACTGCTAAAAAGAAACCGGGGAAATATGTTTGACTTGAGTTAGGCAAATATTTCTTAGATAAGACACTAAAATTATGGCCTTATAAGAAAAATAAAATAAGATTAATTTAAGAATGTCTGCTTTTCAAAAGATCCTCTTAAAAGTGTGGGCCCCAAATCCCAGGCCACAGACCAGTACCATTACTGGTCAGTGGTCTACTAGGAACTGGGCTGCAGGAGGTGAGTAGCAGGGAGCCAGGGAAGTTTCATCCACTGGCATCACCACCTGACCTCCACTGCCTCCCCCGTCCCATGGAAAATTTGTCTTCCATGAAACTTAGGAACAGGCGTTCCATATCATCTGTATTTACAGCTGCTCCCTGCTCCCCATCGCTTACATCACCACTTAAGCTCCCGGGGGTCCCACTCTACCCTCTATCTATGGAAAAATTATCTTCCCCGAAACCAGTCCCTGGTGCCAAAAAGATGAGAGACTTCTGTCTTAAAAGAATGAAACCCAAGCACAGATTTGGAATAAATATTTGTGAATCATCTATATGGAAAAATATGATATGCAAAATATATATAGAAAGCTCAATAATAAGAAAATATCAATCCAATTTAAAAAAAAAAAGGTCAACGATTGAGTATATACTTCACCACAGAAGACATGTAATTGGCAAATAAGCACTGATCAATGCTCAACATGATCAGTTATTAGAGAAATGAAAATTAAAACCACAATGAGATACCACTACATACATATTAACATGTCTAAAATAAAAAGACTGCATATATCAAGTGCTGGAGAGGATATAGAATAATGTGAACTCACAAGCACTGCTGATAGGAATGTAATAGTAAAACTACATTGGAGAAGAATTTGGAAATTTCTTAAGAAGTTAAATACATTCCTAAAAAAATCCTACATCATAAATGAACTTATAGTGACAGGAACCAGATCAATGACTTCCCATGAAGGAGAAAAGGCATGTGAAGGGGAAAGGAGGCAATTAGAAGGAGTCATGGAGCAAATTTGGGAATGATTACAAAATTCTTTATGGTGATCATGGCAATGGAGTCACACATGCATAATATGCCAAAACTTAACTGACTGTACAGTTTAAACAAGCACAGTCTATTGTAGGTCAATTATACCTAAATAATGTTATTAATCAAAAAACATTGAAATATTTTAAAACACATTTTATATTACCCTTTACCTTAGGAGAATCTCCAAGAAGAATGCTAGGGGCTTACTGGTTATTTATGTTATATTCATGTGTAAGATGGGAAAGAAATCTTGCTTTAATAAATTTTGTCTCTAGTCTGCCAGAACTCATAGTGACAATTTTAAGCTCAGTCTGGGGAATATTAATTTAAACAAATTTTTAAGCCATTCTACTTTCTCTCTGATAATAAGAAAATCTTACACATATAATAATTATATTATTTCTAAGCAGTACTTTTCAACATTTTCAGATCTAACATAACTCTAAGAACAAAGACTATTGAAGTAAACATGAATATGTAATTAAATTTATATATTATATTATATATATGTGTGTATATATATGTATATATATATACATATAGCTGGGCTGCTATTAATAGTTTTTTCATTTCTCTACCAATGTGTTCTGCATAATGTAAGCACTGGGGAAAAAAAGCAGAAAGAATATCTTCTAGAACTGATATTGCAAAGGATATTTCAAACTTCAAAACATAATGATTAAAAAGAAATTTGTCAAGGATGCCTAATATAAAACTGTCACAATAAAAACAATACTCTTTCAGCAGTTTCTTACAAAACTAAGCATGTACTTACTATATGACCAATACTTTCGGACATTTAAACTTTTATTTACACATATACTTATATACAAACATTTATAGGAGCTCTATTTGCAATAGCATAATGCTAGAAACAACCAGTGTGTCCTTCAATAGATGAATAGATGAACAGAGTCTGGGACAGCCACACAATAGAATATTACTCAGCAATATAAAGGAATGGACTGTTGACACATGCAACATCTTGAGTGGACCTCAAGAGCATTATGCTTAGTGAAAAAAGGTCAGTTTTGCAAGTTTACACACTAATGATTTCATTTATGTAATATGCTTAAAATGATAAAACTACAAATATGAAGAACAAATTAGTGTGGCCACAGGACAGGGACAGCGATTGTGTTGGGGGATGGGTGCAAATACAAACAGATACTTTAAGGGAATCAAATTGTGATGACGAACAATTCTGCATCTTGAGTGTGGTGATGCCTATGCAAATTTATACATTTAATAAAATTGCACGGAACTGCATACACACACACACAAGTAGATGAATGCAAGTGTTTTTTTTTAAGGTGAAAACTAAATAAGGTCTAATGTTCAGTTAACAGTTATATATCAAAGTCAATTTCCTGGTTTTGATGTATGAGAGCTATATGAGGAATCACCATTGAGAGAAGCTGAGTGTACAGAAGACAATGTACTATTTTTGAAACTTTCTGTAAATCTAGTGAAAATTTTAGTAAAAAATTACATGGGATATTTAATTGCAGACTTTCTGGATTTCCATCTTTTATTTTGCATTTTTAAACATAATACTTGAAACTGAACTAGTATAATACACTTTCATGACACTGGTTCTTGACTAACTGATAACATTTCTGGCATGGAGTAATTGATCACTGCTACATATGGAGAAACTAAATTATTCCCCAGGAATAATGTTTCCAATTGAGGAAGTATTACTTAGATTATATCTACATAAAACTAACTGCTAAATTGCAGTTTAAAATCCAGCCACCCTGGTTTGCATATTATCTTTCATTACTTAGCTTGAGGGCAACTTCCTGAATAAACTATACTTACCTTGCCACAAATCCTCCTCCAATGCCGCAGCCAACCCATCCAGATTGCCTATGTAAAAACAACTCTTCCTTCTTTCCTGGCTCTATGATACCGGTATATTCTTCAATTATTGCATGTCATCTAAAGTTATTTTTGTTAGACATGTCTTATAATCTTGATAGTACATTAATTTCTTTGACTCATTTAACAATTCCACCGACTCTTCTTGATTTCCTATTAAGGGAATCTTCTATAATTTTGATTTGTCTGTTTTCCACTATTCTTCCCATTAATAAGCTGATATTATATGCCCAACCTATGTATGACCTTTGGAGTTTTTTTAGATCCCTCCTTTTCCATCACACATATTTAGACAATAAATCTTTTGGTTGTCTTTCTTAAATATTTTTTTCTGTCATGTTTACTCAGATGGTTCAGTTTGTCATCATCCACTCTTATCACAATTCAATAGTCTTGTCTCCAGCCTTGGCCTTCCTCATCTGTCATTTATACCATTTCTCCAATATATAAAAATATTCATGTCACTTGCTTGCTCTGTGTTCTTTAGCTTTATCACTCCCAAATCTGTTTCTTTGGTTCTGAACTTTCACCCATGTTTTATTTCTGTATCACCAACTGAAGGAGAAGCCCCCATCAGGATGAGAATACAACTAAGGCTTCCTAAATGTCATAAGGGAAAGTCAGTTTTTCTACTTTCATGTTTAGAATCTAAGATATATGGGTAACTTTAATCAGCAGTGCTGAATACTATCACTCTAGGCTGTACTCAAACCATTTGCAACTAAATTGAATGATCTAGCACTTGCCAAAAGCTCAGCTGAGAATTTAATAGCTAAGAGAGGGGCATTTTCAGTAAACTCTCTCCCAGTATTAAGTTAAATCCCACATGCCATATACTTCGTGTACATTAGCTTAACTTCTCTGCAGAAATGCCATCGTTGAATTGGGATTTGATGTTATGGACACAGCTTTTTTTTTTTTTTAATAGAGTGGCAATTTACATGATATTCATAGAGGGTAAGATATTAATTTGTAAAATGTTTGCTTATCCTTCAAAATATCAAAGCTGGAGAAGGCATGCATTACTCAGCTTGCATAATACTCATAAATTCAATTCATAGTAAGTAGAGCCTTAGAAAAACAATATTGAAAGGCAAACTTATTTTAATGTAGAACATATTTTAGGTGTTTATATTGATTAATACAGTATTCTGTTTTAAGATCAATTTAGTCCTTCCTTAATGATGAAACAAAACATATTCCAGCTGTAATTCTCTATCCTCCTAAACAGTTAATTGATTCCAATGTTTATTATCTCTTTTTAATTTTTAATTAACACTATTTTCACTCATTTATGTTTAGGTATTCTGAAAGAATAACTTCCTTCATTCTATTTTATTATTCTTACTTTGAGGAATAGGTGTTATAAGTTTTAAGAATAATAATGCACCCCAAAAAATCAATATTTGACTTTTCTACTATCATAAACGTTAAACCTCCAATACTAAAATTATTATCTTCACCAAAAAACAATTTGTTTTCCCTGTGTCCCCTTTTTCATTAATAGCTCCAATACTTTTAGGAATGTAGGATCATCCCTTTTGTTTTAAGTATCCAATCAGGCATCATCATTTCCTATTGTCCTCATGAAATGTTTTTCACATACATCCTATCTCAATTTAACATCCAGCACTCTGGCCAAGTTTAATTATGTGTGGATTTCTGTTAGACTCTCTCAACAAATCTCTATACCTCCAGGGATATACTCCCTTTTAAGTTCATTTTTCTGTTATTGCTGTAGTCCTTATCTTGAAACATTGCTTTAATCATATACTGTTCACAAATTTTACTGGTAAAGTCCATTCTGGCTATTGAACCTAATTTTGTAATCATTTTCTAACAATAGCTTTTACTTTAGCCAGGCTAGTTAATGCCAAATAGAACATTGTAATGTGGTCCTTTCAATTTCAGGAATATGTGTCTTGGCTAGTTTCTTCTGCTATTTTAATTCAGTGAGAATCTTTGAGAAAAGACATCTGTGATAAAAGCAAGATTCAGAGGTGAAGAGAAGGTAAGGGACAAAATGATGAGTGTGGTGAAAGAAGGTTACTTGCATATTTATTTGGTAAATAGTTTAAAAATCTAATTTCCTTGGGGGGGGTTAGAAAATAAATTTGAATGTTAATATATCCCTTGTACTAACTGGTTGAATTAAAATATGAAAGTCCACATTCCATTTCTTCATTTTCTACTACATTTCCCATTCTTTTCCCAACCCTTATTTTGCTCTTTTCCCATAGTACTGTCTTTTTCCAGTCTTAATCCCAGACAAATCCATCCATAACTCTCAGTTGAATCACTAGGCTCAATATTTCAGAGTTGAAATTAATCCTTTCCTATCAATTCTTATAGAGTTGTATTAAAAACTTGTTAAAGTAATATTTTATTGATAAAATAAAAACATGAAATTTTCTTTTAATTCCTTTTTTATATCACTTTTAAAAGTGACATATCTTTGATGGCTTCACTGAAGTCACCTTAAAGATAAAATATATTGGATAAATCTTTATATGCTTTACAATGCTTGACATAGCATTGTAAGCACTGATAGGATGCACTAGATATGAGGTGCATGATGAATGAATAAATTATTGTGCTAATAAATGTAGTCTGCAAGCTTTGATATTTTATTAGTTTCACATATAAGTCTTTATATAATCAAAATACTGTCTATTGGAATGATCTACTCTAATTTATTTTAAATGTACAGCATATATTTTATTGTTACACTTATTACTTGGTAAATATAAGTTTTCCTGGTAAATACAAGAGAATCAAACCACAAAAAGATTAAAAATTTGCTTTATAACAACTATTAGGTTTTGTAGATGAGATCCTCCAAACTCAGTAGGTGTTCCACTGCATTACCTTGCTCTTCTTGTGACAAATATGTGTCCACTACTACCACAGACATCGTTTTAAAAAGTAGAGCATAAACAATACTTTAGGGGCCCTCAAAGTTTTTTGATTAAACAAAAAAAAATCATTTGAATGGCTAGACAGATACTCTTTAGTACAAATTGAACATATATATTCATAAAATCTATATCTAAAATGTGATTCCTTCCTTAATTTGTTGCTGTCCTGTTTTTCTTCTTTCAGTAAATTTGTATTCAGTAATCACACTATCCAAATGATACTGTGTGAAATATACTTCTTTTTTACAATTTAGAAATCTGTGCCCAATGAGAAATTGTTTGGCAGCACAAAAGTATTAAAATTCAACTATTTTATATGCATGATGCATGAACAGCCATGGTAATTAAAACAATTGGCAAAGATAATACCAGGGTCAGATAATAGAAGGAAAATGGATCATGACTGACTTCATGATTATTTTATAAAATACATTATTAAATAATTGATATGGTTATACCAAGCTATGATAATTTTTTAAAGTATTTTCATTCATTCATACAATTTTCAACAAATATGAGTTGAGTACCTACTACCTGAAATCTTTGTTTCATACATAGCCTTTCTTTACAGAGCATAAGCAATAGAATTTGGTAAATTGACCAAAGTGGTATTAATAACATTAAGGTTAAAAAATAATGAATTTACTTATTAATAAGGTCAAAATGACTTTAATATTATTAAATACTCCACTTCCTATTATTTCCTAAAATTAGCCCCAGATTACAACAAACAAGTAAGCTATACTGTTTCTTATTCTAGGATTTTGATCTAAAGAACATAAGTATCACCTATGTTGAGTCTCCCAGGAGGTCTGTGTGCTTTTTGTACCCACATAATATGATGAAATGAAAAGAAAAAAAAAATAAATAAAAATAATGTAAGTATCAAATTTAGTTTTGGCTTATTTCTAAATATACCTTTGATTTCCCAGCATAGTTCTGGGCAATCCAGAAATTCTTACTCCTATACCCAGTTTAAAGTCTTTCAGTTTCCATAATCATGTTTCTGGTAAATATTATCTCAGTTGTTAGTTCACTGACAGTGATGCAAAACAGAACTTGGGCTTTGAAGTTGGCCAAACTAAGCTCAAATTCCAGTTCTACAATGCACTGACTGTGTGATCTTGGGCAACTTAATCACCTATAACTGGGATTCAATCTCTTTATCTGTAAAATATAAATATTTATGTAATTCTATTACTATATATAGCTATTTCTATATATCTAAATAATGTATAGCCATACAAATATAGCTAAAACATAGATTATTAAAGTACTTCATAGAATTATTGCAAGGATTGAATGAAATAAGCATATATTATCATATACAAAGTTCCAAGGACAGTAAAACATAAACAACTGCAGATGTTACTGTCCCTTATCTTCAAATTCTAATTTAATTTATCACCTTATATATTTCTTCTTGTTTCATGCACTTTTCCCAGCATTAACCAAATATAGTATGCTTTACTTAGCAAGAAATTAGAACTTGATTTTGCTTTTTTTCATTTTTATGCAACATTAACTTTGATGCTTTTAATATTTAAAAATAAAATTGGCCATTTAATTAATACAGGCTACCAGAAATATATTCAATATTGGCTCATAAATGTCATATTATGCTTTTAAAAGATCAGCTAAATTATTAGTTATGTATTAAAAGTAGATGAATAAATCTGACATTTTAAGAAATTAAAATTTTGACATTGTCAACTTCTACTTTAAGTGTAGAATTGGGTTAAATCAATTAGGAAAACCACTTATCACATGAAATAAATGTTACTTCTCAATTTGACTTATAGAATCTGAAAAAAAATGCCTAAGAGTCAACAAAAGTCATTTCTACTTTATCAGACCAGTACAATTCTAGAAATAAAACCCCAAAAAGTTTTGATTATAATAAAATAATCTCTAAAGATTAAAGGCTTAATAAAAGATAGGACTATTTTTATTTGAACCTACATATGTATGTGTATACACATATAATTTAAAAAAGATATGTAGTTGTTTTGATTTTCAGACTTTAAATAACATTTTCTCACTTTGATCTAAATGTCTTCCCAGGAATATCTTTTTAAATTCATATTTCAAAAGGATGTTTTCTAGTCATTTTGTGCCAGTGTTATGAAAAAACATTACAGCCAGCGCCTGAAGAAAAATGAGTGGCTTGGTTTTCATTCATTAAGCTGAAAAAAAATCCTATGAAAAATTATATGCATTAAAGCTGCATAAATGATAATACAGTAATCCTAGCTCTAATTCTGACATGAGCTGTTAAGAACAAACCATATGTTATTTTCATAAATATATTAAATACATCCAAATGAGTCTCACTTATGTGAGAAGATCTCTAAATTATAATTTTTAGATTATGAATAGAGTGGTGATCAGAATAAAAAACCTGAAATTCCAGAAATATGCATATTCTGCGATATCTTTAGTATTCCAGTGTGAGTAAGCAACAAACAACCAGTTTGCCATGTGCCCTTTATATCTGAAAGGCCACCTGCCAGCTCATTCCCATTTTCTCCTCAATGGGTTATCAGATGAATATAAATTAGTACAGTTAGGAGATTTTCAATAGGAACAGCATTTCCGACTCCATTGAAAAATGGGTCAGATGGCAGCACTTACTTTGATACTGCCATTCAGATCCAAACTCATGAAGTGCAACTTGCAAACCATTGTCCCCCAAATGATTATCACACAGGCTAGGCAGCATGACAATGACTGAGTGTCAATTAGTTCAGTCTAAAGGCAAGAAGTCCAAATTGTTAGGGATTTTTAAAACAAAGCATGTGTTCCCAATTCCCTTTAATACCCAGTTGGCAACAAGTCACTGGCAAAATCTACTGCACGGGGAGAATTGTTAATGTGTCTTTCTCAGAGGTAACAAATAGATGTGAAAAGAACTGGTCAAGAAGGAAAGCATACTGTATGTTGTTATTTTAGTTAACTCAAATCAAACTCTTAACTGGACTGGAAAAAGATGCAGATGGATGTGATAACTGCTGAATTTAAAATTGCAAGGAGAAATTAGGGTTTCTCTTCTGAAAATGCATCAACTATTAAGAACAGTCTTAATTTAAATATGTATAATCACATATACAGGCTTTTTTAAACATCATATACAGGCCTTTTTAAACATCATAAATCATTATACATTTTCTAATTGCCTATTTTTCCCCCTTAGATTAGAACATGAAATTGTTTAAAGATACACAATATTAAAATATTGGGTTTTTTTAATATATTTACAATGCATTCAAAGGAGCTAATGTTAGTACCAATGTCTACACATTATTAACAAAAAGACAAATACTCTCCTAACCCAAATGCGAAAAGGCTAAGAACAAGCAGTTCAGAGAACAGGAAACAGAAATAACCAATTACATATGAAATGATGCCTAGATTCACAACTAATCAGGAAATTACACATTAAACAACAGTGAGATAGCATTTCACATCCCTTGGATTGGAAAAATTTTTTAATTGGTTAATACCAGAGATATGAGACAATTAAACTTCTTATAAATTTTTAGTGGGAGTATAAACTGGCATGACCACTCTAGAGAATAATTAGGCAAGACCTAATAAAATTGAAGTGCCATTGCATTAACTGCATTTTTGATTGATTAGTTTCAATTTAATGGTGTGTACCTGTGCTATTTATTTTTCCATTCCTGTGATGATTCACTTAGAAGAATGGACTCCAGCTCCATCCAGGTTAATAGAAGGGGTATTAGTTCACGGCATTTTATGGCTGAGTAGCACTCCTTGGTATACATATACTACATTGTATTAATCCACTCTTGTATTGATGTGCATGTGGGTTGTTCCCACATCTTTGCCATTGTGAATTGTGCTGCTATAAACATTTAAGCACAGGTGTCTTTTTTATAGAAAGTCAGCAGTCAAGCTGAGAGCCAAACTAAAGACTCAATATCTTCCACAATAGCAATAACAACAACAAAATAAAATACTTAGGAATATGTTTAACTAAGGAGATGAAAGACCTCTATAGGGATAACTACAAAACACTGAGGAAGGAAATAGCAAAGGACATAAATAGATGGGAAAACATACCATGCTT